GCTACTGGAGGGAGGGTGTCTATAGGACACGAGGAGAGAAGTCGATTGATTCCTGCCATCGAGTCACCATGAATCACCCTGCAGAGAAAATGCTGCGGTATTCCCGGATCGATGTCCACCCTCGAGTTGGAGAAAGCCGGCTCCCCAGAAAAGGGCCCAAATTCTCGTCGAGAAAGATGGAGTCGCTGCCGCACTCACGAGCAGGAAAGCTCGGAACCTAATGCGAATACGCTGTAGGACATGGACCCCTGGAGATCTTTCGTCGTATAAATTGCGTCGCCCAACTGCAAGCCTCTCGGCTTCAAGCTGTCGTAGACACGAGGGCGAGCCGGGACACGCTTGCTTGCTTGTCGCTCGCTGGCTCTCCTGGTCGGATGTCGGCAGTTAGAAACTTCCGTCAACCAAGCGATCTGGACTTCTTCCCGGAGTCGACCGGATTAGGCGAGACGAAGGCCGCAGTGCGGAATTTATTTTTTTGTAAAATTCCAATCAGTCTACGAGACTGCGAGAGCACTGTTTTCGGAAATAAATGTCTGCTCGGGCGTATGAGAGGGAGAAATACGTGGCGGTCCATGGAGGGAGGGAGGAGGGGAGAATCTGCGAAGAGCTCCGCCGTCGGCTCACCCGAAGAGGTGTCACGGAGCGCGTAGACGAGAAATATGCTTGGCTATCAGCCGTGCTACGAAAGCAACGAGCCGGAAAATATGCACAAGCGGCTCAAAGCCCTAAGCACGGAGCGGAAAAACTTTCGCTTCTTAGCCTCGTTATGACCGTCTCGGCTTTCACGGCGGGCAACGAGCTCGCCTGTTAGGTTGTTTTGATTGCTCGCCTGCCTCGGTGGAAGAGATTGGTTAATGCGCCGGCTGGCTCCGGCGCTGGCTCATGCCTTCGTTCGTCTCGACCACGAACTACTCGTGTCTTACACGGTGCTGACCAGGGGGCTCATCGCAGCCATGCGGAAGCGCTTTAGGAAAACACTCACCTCGTCGGCCACGTCATTGAGTTCCTGCGGCTGCACGGGCGCTTGCTGAGGCTGGAACACGTGATTGGCATCCTCAATAATGTCCTTATGAGTCGAGGCAAATAGTGTTAACAGCAGCCACGAGAACACCATCGCCCCTCCCAACTTCCACATGACGCCGCCACGGTGTATCCGCCGCATCAGCATCTTGAAGAACGGGTTCGCCACGTCCGCGGAGTTCTCTTCACGCCGTGACCTCTGAAAGACGGAGAAATAAATTCTTTAGACCCGTGATAGCCCATGCGAGAATTCGGAGCGCCCGTTTCACTGGTGTACACTGAATACGATCGAGTGACTGACCGACTGATCGGATGGATTGCTCAGCCCGCTAACTATCATTACGTGGCTCCGTATGGAACCACCGAACTATCGCCGAATCACACAACAGGCGCACGCGAACAAAGCGCATCGGCTGCCACGCAGACGGCGGGAGAACTTAATAGCAATAATTTCGGACCGCTAAACTCAGTACTCGGACGGGCTGCGGCTGGAAATTTCGCTCTCCAACATTTTTCTCTCTCGATGTCTCAACGGCTCCTACGGCCGCGACAGCGCGGCCCAGCTATCATTCGGTCGCATCTCCGCTCGGCCATAGGGTCGCTGTATGATTTGGATTGGGTTGTGTTCTCAAATAGATGAGCCACTGGCGGCCGCTGGGGCCTGTGGCAACCCATATGAGGGAGCGTGGGCGGCAGAAGCATCCAACGAACGATCCTGAAATAAAGGCCGGGCAAACGCGTATCAGACCGACCGACCGACCAAGCGGTCCTAAACGCTAATTGCGAGCTGCACACCAAGCTGACGTTCGATCTCGAGAGAATTCAACAAAATGCCACCGCACAGGGCTTCGGCCTCTGTAATTATGAACAATCAGAATATTTGCTCATAAGGGAGCTCGGAGCTCCCGGCACGGGGCTGCTCCGAACGAGAGAAGGGTCGTCATTCTCGACCGTCGGATCCTACGCGCGTGATTTGCCGGAGTCTGACGGCATCCCGCATAGTGCGAGGCAGCGCGAGCTCGTCGCCCGGAGTCGGGTAGCGGTCCTTGAACACCATCACGTGATAAATACAGTAGTCGGACGGGAGCGTTTGGTGGCCCCGATGTTCGATCAGACGCCCATAGAGGGAAATATTCGCAATAGTTATTAGATATTAGTTATTATAATGGGAAGAATGATGTCGATGATGATGATGACGGCGGCGGCGACTACATTCGCGTAGCTCAATATTTGAGTGTTTTTCCCTCTCTCTCTCTCTCCTCGAAAGAGAGATCCCAAGTGAGAGAGAGGAACGAAAATCAGGGATCCGTATGAAACATGATATTTGCGAAAGCAATGTTTGTCGTGCCGCGCAGACATCGCAGCCGCCTATTCCGACGAGCTTCGCTTTCTTCGTTCGGGTTTGGCATTTCTCCAAGCCGATTTTGTGGCCTCATCGGTCTCTCGAGTGCTTTAACGCGGCTGGGAAAAAATTGATCCCAGAGGTCCTACCGCTACGCGGTCGAGCGTTCAGAGACGAAGAACGCATTCCGAACATTTGAGGAGCGTTCCGTAGTTAGTATCTTCGGCAGTAAAACTCCGAAACCGCTTCCTGGTAATTCTACCGGAGAGGGTTTTTGACTCAATTCAGGGATTCCGGACTCCGAACACGCCCACGGAAGAGTTCACCCTGCCGTATCGTCCTATGATCCATGGGGTCGGCCGTCGCGCAAAAGACCGCTCAGAGATGCAGAGTTGGCCTAACGAAGTCGTATCTATTAATATGGGCCCCGAGCCCGAGAACAGGGACGTGATTCCACTCCACAACATTAACCTCCCAGCTCTGAGTCTGCGAGCTTTGTCCGACCGATCCAGGTCTGGTCGTTCGAGGCCAAAGTTGCTGGCTCGGACTCGGAGCCGCTCCACCGAGAGAAAAGCGTTCGGCTCAACTTAAAATAACCTGCGTCCAGTGCTCTTAAAAAAAGAGCAGCAACGCTGAAAGTTCGAGAGCGGAGTATGTACAAGCGGCTGAGAAAGTCGTTCTGTCGAAAAAGTCGACAGCTTGAATGCCGATTTTGAGAAGGTCCTCGGAGCAATTCTTCATGAACGTGCCAAGCGTACGCCAGGATCGCGGTGAGCCACGAGTCAAATAGGTTACTAAGCGCACCCGGCCATCTTCTGCCTCGACATTTCGTTCGAGCTTCCTTATTAAATTTTATGTTTCGTTCGAGTCAAGCTTTTGAACTTTTCGAGACTTTGGAAAACCCGAGCCGCGAAAGTCTCGAGTTCCCCGCCATTAGCAGCCTTGACCCCTCCGTCTCGCTTTCGAGCGCAGGCGAGTCGTGAGAGCAGCCGATCTCGGCCCGAGACGACAAGAGCGACTCGAACGAGCTCAACGACCACAATCATCGCACGGAGTGGATCGGTTGAATGTGCCGTACCGCTCGACGTTCGCAGGGTGTGCGATGGGAGAGCCTAATTGTGGTGATCGCACAACGATTAGATGATGGAAAATTGCGGAACACATTTCTGATCTTATGTAGAATTGAGTTCCGAGAGTGAGGAGCGAAACTCTTGGGTTTGAATCGTGACACCGCGGGGAACTCGTTCGCCTTCACTCAGCCACGGTAGAGTCGCGGCAGCGGCAATCTCCGATCCCGTGCAAGGGCACTAACAAGTTCTCCTCGACCCGAGAGCCCGAGACGGGAGCAAGGGCTGAATCTATTCCGAGCCCGACTGCCGAGCCACCAATCCAAAATATGTAGCTCTGAGGGATTTTGCATTCAAGCCGAACTGGAGCATCTCTGCTCTCGTCTCCGCTGCGAGCGAACTCTGAGAGTACTTCAGGGAGCTCGTTGCCTACTACCGAAGACTGTAGCGGCCGATTCTGTAGACGACACTGACTTAATTAAGGTCATGTCGCACTGCATCTGACTATCGAGGCTCCGGTGACGGCCGGAGAAGTTTACTTGCGTGAATGTGCAACGCTTAGACATCCTCGGAGACGACCGGCTGGAAGATGATAGCGGAGACGGAGGCTTAGAGGATTGCGAACGTGATGATGAATGGGTCGTTTCCGCCGCTGTGGCAAAAGTGGATTTGACCGGACTGGTACTACGGCGTCCGACTCGGCCGGCACCCGGAGCGTCAACTTTTGCCCGAGCAATTTCGCGAACTCCGCCGATGATACGCTTGTGTTAATGAAGCCGCGTGATACGATAGACACACGCAGCCGAGGATATCGATGAGCAGCAGGAGCCCACCGCAAGAAACCCGATCAGTCAACATAGGCTCCGAGAGACACAGTCCTCCCGCGAACAGGAAACATCTGGAAACTCCGTGTTCCGGCGTTTCAAAGATGCAGGCAATAATGCATCATTTGACTGAACGGGAAGACGTCGAGCTGGGTTGCTTTGACGCCGGGTTCCAACAACGGAGGAACGGTCAGCTGCGTCGGGAAACATCTGCTCAGCTCGCTGGCGTACGTCCAACAAACTCGTCCCAGCGGACGCCGGCGGGAGATCGGTGGAGATCGTCTCCGAAGTCATCCTGCATTGACATGGGTCATGCCCATCCGGCGAAGCTGAGGCGCGTCTTCATTCATGTGGATTCGACATCGATTTTCTCCCGGTTATCGATATTGTGATGATGACCACCGATCTTGATAAGCTCGTCTCTCTCGGGCTCGGGTCCTGATGATGTCGACGGGACCTCCAGCTCCCCGACGAGTTCTTCGATCATGATTCGCTGAAATAGTTCGGATTCTGGGAAGAATGAATCCACTGAAGGACCAACTGCGATGGCAGAGAGATGGAATTTCACTTCCAGACCGCGTGCTGTGACTGGTGCCCATGATGAACGTTCCCGACAGATGACATGGGCAAGGTCACTCCGTGGCTCATGTTCCCATCGGCGGTTTATTAGCAGAATGACAAAATCAAGGATAGAACGCGAACGTTTTTCTAGTGGTGTGTCGAATCATGCGTGACAACTAGAACAACAGAGCTGGAAGGATTAACGATGCAATCGTCGATTAGGTCGGAACTTCAATCCCCAATCCACTGAATCATCTGAATTCGCTCACGAGGCTCTGGATCCGGCACCATAGCGGAAACGACACTGTAGGCATAGACGTCACCGAAGTCCAAGACCGGCCGAGATTCATTCTGTTTGCGATCAATGTCAAGCAGGTCCGAACGAACGGTCGTTTACTGTTCAGACACCTCACCATGGCCTTGGACGAACTCGCAGATTTCCCGTGAAATACCGAACGGCCCGATTTACCTTCCATCTGGGGCTCCGGTATAAGTCTAATCCACTGATCATCATAGACAATGGGGCTGTCCGGTACAGTCACAGGCGGCCGTCGAACCATTCGATTTGTGATGTGGCAGAGGGCGCACAAAAACAAAGCGCTCTGTGCGCCGGCGAAGGAATAGCTCCACCATCAAGCCTCGGGAAGAGTTCCCCCGGAGATGAAAGCAGATTATTCCGATTGGTTCCGTTTACGTGTACAGACGTCCGGAACAGCAACGTGTGGTTGTTTCTGATGAAGTCGTAATCGATAGTCTGATCATTAACAGCAGCTCCGAGCTCATCTCTGATATCCGAGGGAGGGCGAATGCCTGACCGTCCGACTGCACTGTAGGTAGGAGGGTCAACGGAGCGAGCATGTCTGTCGGGCTCGCCTGAATTCGATATCATCGCCGACATCGGGAAAAAGTCCGATAATGACATCTGCATTAGAAATAAGCTCCTTTTTTTGGTCTCTCCAAAAAAGCACCCGGATTGCTCTCCCCTACCGCGTCCTCTGGCTCTGCTCCGTCGACCGGGAGTTGTCTTCCTCCCGAAAAATCTCAGTATATGGTCGAGAATCAACGGGAATTTCAGCAGAACACTGCACCGTGATTCCAGATTCGGATAGCGCTCCGAGGATAGTCTATTTCATCCTTGATACATCTGCGGAGGCTCTGTCCGGCCGCCAGCCCGCTTCGTAGCTGCGTGACTGTCAACGGCAGCCACCTGCTCAGGATCTCAGGCCGTCCAACGAGCGCACGAGCAACTTTGGCCGGGCGGAAGGACAGTCGACGCAGACGACCAGCTTCTAAATAAAGTATTTCCCTAGTTAGCACAAACCCCGATGATTTCGCGAAAATTTTCTCGCTGCCGCTCGCAGGTTGTTGCAGTTCGTTCCCCTTGTCCGCGATCCCTTCTGAGATTGGGAGAGTGCTGAAAGCTCGACGACAGCCTTCTACATTTACGAGACCATCACTCATCTGTACTATAAGGACTGTTTCGCGCCGTCGTCCTACTCGCTCATGTTCGCGCTTGCGTCTAAGCAGACAAATGAATGCGGCAGAAAACGCTGTGAAAGAAGAGCTCACAAGGAAATAATCGGCCTTGAGCACTGCAGAGATGATTCATTCGATTCCGCTCCGCCATCCCCATAGGGTCCTATCGCAAACATCGAGAATCTCAAAAGGAGGGATCGAGAGCATGTTTGTCCTCAGCGCTAGGGAAGTCGAATCATGACTCCGACCGAGAGGAAGAACGAATCATCATCCAGTCCCGCAGATCGAGAGGAGTGAACCCTTCGTCGACCTCGAATCCATCCCAACTGTCGACGTCGACCGCAATCTTGCTCAGTCAGAAAAATCGCCGTAGACGATGAAGCTGTAGCTGACGTTCATTATCAGCTCGTGGACAGAGATCGCGTGCAAGGAGGAGATAAGAACACGAGAGAAAAATCTAGAATGATTCTGAAGATGATCCATCTTCTCCTGCTCGCCTGCAGGCTCCTTCCCCGATCCTGCCTGCCCGCCCGAGCGACTATTACCTACCATTAAGTTCATATCAGAGAGTACGTTCGTCGATGTTTGGCGGAGGAAGGGGGAAAAAGTCTTCCCGGAATCGACACGAACACGAATCGAAAAATACAGCGTCGAGGGACTCGGAGAGGACGAGCGAGCAGCGAGCGTACCGGAGACCGACTCGCGCGATCGACGTTGTAAATACATCTTATCGAGGAGCCTGCGAATCCGCAGGCTAACATCAGAGACCGAATCAAATCAGCTCCGCAGCTGATGGAGTCGATTCCTGGAGATTCCGAGATCTGGCTCTCGCTCGCTTCCCTTGATCTCTGTCTGTGATTGCTCTTGCGAACAGAGTTCGACGTGACTGATTTGCAGCAGCAAATGCGACACGCTGCTGAAGTAAGCGTCACATAGATGCACCGCAGCGTAGGGATCCGCCGACTTCCCGCGGAAAAAGTTGGACGGAAAAAGTCGCGTCGGGAAGTCGCAGGCAAGCGGACGTACCACATTTTCCCATGCTTTCACGAACATTTCCTCATCTCGTGGACTTACCGAGACCTGTGCGGAACTACACAGTCACCGACGAATGCTCGGTTGAGGGCAGAGATTCGAGAGTCGACGATTTCAGCCCAGCCTCTGACCGTGAGTTGTGAGTGACCTCCGAATGGCTCCTGCTTCTCGGATCCGCACACTTTCGTGCGGATAGCTGCGTGGGTAGCTGCCCTTGGCTTCCACGGGCAGGGGTCTCAGGAGACAGGCACGATACGGATATCATTCGTGTGCAACTCGAAAAATCCTGCGCATCCCAATGGTTCAAGTTTCGAGACTGCACAGAGAAAGCATGTATCTCGACATCTCGGGTCAGGACGAGAATTTCGCCTGGATAACTTACTCAGGGGGTAAGGTATTCGATGTCGAACCGACTAAGAATCGCCTGCGGGCGGTTCCTGAAACTCCAGAGCAATAAGTCGCAAGGCTTAAAAGTTTTCGAAAGCCTGCCTCTACAATTAAGCGATGGGATTAAGCGACCTCCACATCAGAGCAGAATCGAGTTTTTCCCCAATAGGAGGACAAAACTTCAGCAAGGACGGAATTTGGATCGTCCAACTCTACGACGGCGACGAAAATCTCAGACGGAATTCGACTTCAGCGGAAAGACTGAGACAGTCGGGCTGGGCATCGCGCCCACTTTCGGGGGGGGGCTCGGTGTATTCCTCTCTCTTGGGGCAGCCCACCAGCAGGAAGGTTCGCTCGTTCGGGAATCTCCGGAGAATCGATCCTTCCTTATTGGAGAGGATAGAACATCATGTTCAACATCGAGGACGTGAATCCAAGGTAAAATATGGGATCCGGATTCCTCGGCTGAGAACCGAGACGTCGAGGACACGAGTCGGGAATCGGTACGCTCTGAACGGGGTTTCTCGCTAATCTCGTGGGTTTCACTCAGGGGTGGGGATAGATGCACAATGTATAACACGGAGTGATACCGCCTAATATGTATACTGACGACTGCAAAAGGATTTTAATGGCGTCCGAGTCTCATGGGCGTCTGCCTCGGCTCCGGCACAGGTTCCCTACTGTTTGCGACGGGAAATAAAGGAAATCCTCATGAGGAGTCTTCCGAATACATGGAGTGCCCTCGGGCGTTGCGACGATGAGTCCTCGACACACGGAGGTATTTCAGGCTGGGACGGAGAGGCCAAAAGTACTCACTTTCAGGGTTCATAGAACCTCATTCGATCTGAAGATCCAGAAGTGAGCACGTCCGAGAGCGACCTGAGTCGCCTCTCGAGGTTGTCCCCGCTCGAACGCACCACCGTGCGTTGGTATCAATCTGAAACAAGGAAATAATGATTTTAGTGCTCAGCTGATCACGCCCCCGATTCACATGGACTCTATGGACGGATTAGTTTTCGACGGAACTTCGGGTAACTCAAGCACGTATGCGCTCCTGACGTGTGTCGAATTGTGTCACCTCTAATCACTGGAATGGCTCCTCCTTACATATTTCATATATCCCAGGTCGGTCCGAGCTCTCATTACTGCAGCTCACCGTGAAATTTATGGGAACGAAACTCTTCCGAATAAGATTTGTGCTTTGATAGAATGATTCAGCCATTGGCCGCTGATTTCTGCTCCCCGGTCTCGAAAGAGATTCTCCGGTCCAGCTCTGGGGTCTGCACGAACAGTCCGACCAGTGACCGTTCCCTACGAGCTTGGCAAGTTCAAATCATTTGGTAGGTAATACTCGGATCACCACCTTTTAGCCCTCAATAAAGTCTATAGGGTCTAGCTCGGAAGAAAATTGCAGAGTTTTGAATCCGTTTCCATCTGGTACCGAGCCGAGAAAGATGGCCCTCACGCGTCTCCAGTCATTGCACTGGTTTGCATTCGGGGCCGTGTCTCTCCTCCACACGAATGTGGATTGTGACAGCCTGAGGATTTCCACGGTGACGGCCTTCTTGTGCGAATCACGAATAGAATCCGAAGGCCACCAGCACCGCTCGATCAGAAACTAACAAAGTGAATGTTTGATGGAACGAGTCACATGATTGATTGACAACGTATCATGTAAAAGATGCGGGTCTGCCAGTGTTTGACCCCGCGGAACAATAATCTCCTCTGGACGGAAGTGGCGCTTCAAGTCTGCCAGACGGAAACGACATTCTGGAGAAAATTCCGGCTCGTTAGCGACGAAGAGAGAAAGGCTTCTGAGATGACGATCTTAAGCCGGGGAGAGTTCGTTAAAGAAACAAAAACGAAACCCGCGGAGAACGAGGAATCAGAATAGGCCACCGGCGGAAGATGCGAAATCAAAAAGCTCTCCAGTAAAATGCGAGGGACGAGATAACGACAAACAACGGCGAGCGCCGCTCGGAAGTTTTCTGAAGTCCATCGTTCAGGCTAGTGCGGTCGTTGAACCTGAGCCGAGAGGCATCGGACATCATCAACGCATCATTCTCGACAACCACCAAAGACACAATTCTTTTCACACGTCATCTCAACAACTGATGACTGTCTGTTGGCGCCATTCCTCTTGCTTGCCCGCCTCACTGATTTCGGAGCGGACAAACTTGCTGGAAACGAACTTTTAAGTTGGCCGTCCGAGTGACCGACCGTTAGACGAGAACTCTCGCACCGGATCATCAACACAAGCGCAGAAGTTCTGCGATATGCCTTTCAAAGAAAGGAACGGAATCATTGGCGCGTTTCACTGTCAATCTGAGCTAAAAGCTGGACACTGGGGTGGCACCTTATCACATCATCCAAAAGAGGCAGACCTCCGAGACTCGCCCGTTCTTTCGAGCAAAGCAAATACCAGAACCCTTTCTCAGAAGTTCTTCGATGTTCAGACGATAGGGTCGCCGGATCGATATACAAGCCCGGATGGCCGGATACTGAGCTGTTGCATCTCAGCGCGACTGAACTCAGTCGGAACTCACGCCTTCACTCGCGTAATCTCGGTCGCTTGAGACGACAGCTCGGTGGGTTATTCGAATCGACAAATGTTCGATAACGATCGAAATAGAGAGCGTCTCGTGAGGAGGATACCGAGGAACATACCTCGTCACGGAATACGGTGCTCAGCGCGTAATCGGGAGCTATGTCACGCGTTTGTTCTTCGACAGAATCCCTCCGTTTTGACGCATTGACACGTCGAGGAATGGCGTCAGCTTCGTTGTCGACGGGCGGACACACATGGAAATACGCAACTCTCAATCCTCTCAGTTTACGTCGTATGCCTTGGTTGCAGATTTTGACTTGACATTTGAATTTATCTCCTCGATTACGGATTATTATCTCGAATACGGAGATAAGCTCAGAAAGAGGAGTGAATTTTGAACAAAAAAGCTTTTCGCATTCCTCCGGAACGTGTGATCGGAATTTCCGCCAGGAGGAATTTTTGGCTTACTGGGTTTCGGCTATCTCAACTTTCGGCGTACCTACTGGGTTTCGTTTAGACGAATTTCGGCGTTCTGGGTTTCGGCGTGAAAGTTTCGACTTACTGGGTCTATACCGAAAAATCAATCGAGTTGCCTCAGACCCGGAAGAGATAGCGATGTCTCAGGAGCACGCTGTCGCTGTACCCTGTACCACAATCGCGGAGGGGGGCCTACGGAGACTCACGGACTCACGGAATGTGCCGAGTCTCATTCATTTCATGATATTTTTCTCCCGAAATTCCCTGATCGTTCACGGAACTTACAACGGACTTCGAACGGAATCGACCTCTTGCGTCGATGTCTGGATATGCCGACTGGTTCGGCCAGCCGAGTTTTTTTCGCTTCCTACAGCCGTCATTTTTTATTGTTTCGCTGACCGGCTTTCCTCGATTGACAGTGTTCCGTGGAGTATTTTGACGCGAATTCAAGTGTTCAACGCGTGGCTCCGGATTCGGGACCTATTGTCGGATCCGAGGCTGAATTGATACGAATCTTCAACCTCATGATAGACGGAACTAGAAGGCTCGTCGTCTTCGTCGAACACTTCGCTGCCACCAACAAATTACTGGATGAGCGAATATCCATTCCCTCAGTGCTATCATTCCGTGGGTCGGTCAGTCAGTCTTAATGAGAGGGTCCTTAGAGAATCAGAGAGCGAAAATTCAGGAAGCTCTTTCGAAATCACAGAATGTATCCAACGGAAGAGCAATGGGCTAGCGGTAGGCGAAACTGAAGTAACGCGGAGTAACATTACACAAGCCGTGACGCGAAGCTCACAGACACAGAAACGCCGTCCATGACGCACCAGGCTGGCGCAACGAGAAGGGCGGCTCGCGTTCCAGGTGACCTGTCTCATTAATTCTCAAACCCAGTTGGAAGCGTCTTTTCTTCTTTTTTCCACCCACAGCCGTCATCGTTCTAATTGCGGGTGATACAGCGTTTTTAGAACGAGCACTAAGTCAGAAAGTCCGGCGTTCGCTCACATAGAGTCTTATAAGAATCATCTCGTTTCAATTTACTTGAGTTTACATCGCTCGTCTCCTGATTCCGCGAATCGCTTTCTACTAAGGCGGGAGGAACATCCCTGTATTTTTCGTAGTCTCTTGAGGACTCTTCGCATTTGCAAAGGGGTGATCAGATTGAGACGGAAGCTTCTCTCGGTGGGAGAGAAGTTTTTGGCGCTTGATTCTCTTCACCCGGACCACTGAGCAAGCTTTTTCGGAGAAAACCTGCGCGAGCAGATGATCTGCTTGATATATGCCGAGACGGTGACGACAGACCGAAAACGTCGCGGGGTGAGTTAGGCTAATTTCAAGAGATATTTAGAATTTATTAAATTAGGCGTCCTTTTCTCTGAACCGCGAATCACGCTTGCATACTCGACTTCAGCGAATACGACGCTGGACATCAGGAATGCAGATGCCGATTGATTCGAGACGCTCTTGAGCGAGTTCAAATGACCGTATCTCTCGATCCTCCCTCTAGTGAGAATTACGCTCTAGCTCACGGAATCGATTGACTCCAGGGGTTTCAATGAAATACGACGCGCAGTCACTCATCAGGCGAAGGAACGCGATTTCTCCGGGGCAATAAGCACTCTCCCATGGAGAGTGTTCGCTTCCGGGCACCAGCGCGACGGGACCCAGCGGCGAAGCGACTAAAAACACTATAATTCGCTTCTTACTTAGCCTGTGTAGGTGAGGGGCCAATCGACGACGGATATCTTACTTTGTTTTTAGCTCTGGGCTAGCTTTTAATCATCTCTCTTCTTGTTTCGCGACCTGTACAGCCTGCGTGCTGATGCAGAATTACGCTTCTCATTGTCTCCGAGGAAGGAGCGGAAAACAGGAAGGAAGACTGTTTCTGCGAATTCGACGAGGGAGGCCCAGGAAGCTCTCCGTGGGGGAAGGATTGATCGGACCCACATTGATTCGGAATAGTGTCCCTTGAACTCTAAAATTAATTCTGCTCAGAAGAGTTGAGCCTGATCTCCTCAACGAGGGATGCGAAAGGGGCCGCAATCATAGGCCACAGATCCTTCACAAACATTGATTTTGGAGAGATGAGGAAGCGCATTCTGAACACGATGGCGACGAGCTAGATAAGCATACGTCTCGAAATGATCAAGCGGGCGACAATTTTCCTCGCAGTGTCCCTCATGAGAGCGCATTGACGCGCTAGATTAATCATCCACAACTGCAGCGCCGAAGGAATTCAACGGCGAAGCTGATCAGTCCGTTTTTGAATTGATGGTCGGCTCCGACAGCGGTCCTCATCGCAAAACCGTCGAGGTGGTGGTGATTTCCGAAGCGATGTTCTTAGGCGGAATCATCCGCTGGGTTGTCGGGCGACCAGAGGCTGATCCAGATTTTGATTGATGCCATCGAGTTGGATTCTGCGGCAAAAATAGTCGCAGCTGAAACTCTTTGAATGACCCCAATGACAGCGAAGGCAAGTGACGATTGTCTAAAGTCGACCCGAACGGCCGGACCGAGTAACGGGTGGACAGACGGACAGTCGGCCGTCTGGTCAAGCGTAGGGTCCATATAGAGCAAGTGAACGGGCGGAGAAGAAACTTTCCGGTGGAAGGGTGCTCCTGGGAACCCTGTCATTGACACCCGCCTACGTCTTTCTTCGGGCTCACCTAAGGATCTATTGAAGATTATTTGCTCGCTCGCTTGCTCGTCTTTTCCCATTCTTGGTTCGGACGATCACCTCGGGAACCGATATTTTGACGACTCACTGCTCCCCACCAGCAATTTCCGACTCGCACCGCACTTCCTAACGAGCAGCACTGACTGAGCGGAAGATTTGCTGCCGAGTTTTGACATCCAGATTCGCACCTGCGGTAGCACATGATCAGAAGTTTCGGGGAGCGATTCGATTCGGA